CACACACAGAGAATCACTGCGGTTCTCTACTGAAGTCGGCCATGGAACTTTATATAAAATGTTGATTAAAATATTAATTGTGAACTATTTGTTTCAGACTTTAAATAAAGAATAAATCCAAACGTTTAATTTTAACGTGATATATTATCTATTAGGCTGAATGTATATTAATGTGTAAGCAGGCCGTTCTATTTTTTCAATATGTTGATCTTGTCGTTATAGTGCTAGTCTTTGTGTCCATCTGTTTGTAAAAATGCAGACAGCAACACAGATCCAGTTTTGTTACATAGCAACATTTAAGGTCAACACCAAGTGACCCACACTGATTTTGTTTAGGAAATCTGGTCACATGTAATCTCATTTCGTGCTCAATGGTCATGTTACTGTGTCCATAGTGTAATCCAAAACTAAAAGATTATTTTGTTTTGTGTTACATTGAGAAATGTATAACTTTGGATATTATGGGAGAAACCCGTAACATCTGCATATCTTTATTTTGCCATTACAAAAAACACAAATAGTTTGGATTTTGAAGACAGCATGGTTAGAATGGAGGAGACCATGCAGGTTCATGTTTTGAAAGGTTCAAGGCCAGGCTTCCCCTCAGAACAGTTTGGATACCAAAGGTAAAGCAAGAAAGAAACCTGTGCCAAACTTGGGGGAATACCCTAAAAACCCTATCCTCACCATAAACCAAGAAAATAAATTGCAAAAGCAATTCACTTAATCCCTGTGTTATATGTACCGTGGTCTTTAAGGAACCAGTTTGGTTCAATACAGGTCAAATAATAGTAAAAACACATTTGTTGATAAAAATGCATTGGGCTTCATTAGCAAATGTACAATTGTCAGATACCAGATTGGTACAGACACGTGAGATAAATCAATAGAAAATAACATCTATTTCATTTTATTATCCTCACTTTGGACACTGTTACCAAATGTTTCCTATAACAACGAAAATCATTATGACAGTTTGATCCCAGTCATTAATGACAGGACTACTCCCTTAACATTTTCCCAACAGGACTCACAAGTCATTCCTGTTACCTGTCTCAATGTGAGATACACTTAAAGGTAGAGGATCATTGTGGAGAAGTGTGGTAGTTAGTGATACACATCAGAGTCAGATCATCTTAAGAATTGGGGGGAATCAAAGTTAAAAAGGAGGCCATTTTCCTTGCATGTGACCCTGTCTATAGGCACATGTAACAGCAAATATTGCTTAAGGAATACACTCATCTTCTGTTAAGACTGTTGAGGTGGAGAAAGAATGGTTTGGAAATTCATACCACAATTATTAAATTGCACTTCTGATTGCATATTAGGATTTCGATGCTTATGGAATTCTGGCCTTGTGTGTACAGATGCAGTAAACTAGAAACTACATCTGGTTTTCACAGGCACAATGCCAGGATTGCAACCAAAATAAAACGAGAGCAGAGCAGACTCAAAGTGTGTATTTCCTCACTGGAGGACAACTTTTAAAAAGCTGTATTTTATGGCAGCATTTCCTGCAATTTGCATAAAACAGGTTATACTTTGACACACCCTCTGAGATACTCCTATTAAAAATCGAGATGTATGTGCTTGAGAAGGCAAGCCGGTTCTGCAAGTGATATAAATTATACTTCCACCTTTAGAGCGTAATTTTCCTGGTCAAATGCCTTTTTCTCCAGCTTAAAAAAAGACATTCTCAATGCATGCTCAAATGAATCAATATTACGTGAATCTAGTTGCTTCCACCTTTGGGCCTTGCAGTTAAAGGTACTATTGTTGAGCAGGTTTGTGGCATAAGTGGGGCCGAAAAAATAAATATTCTGAGTTGGAATCTACTGTTATGACGCCAAAGCTCTGAAACATAAAGAAAAAAAATACACATTGAACAAATATGTTCAAAATCAATATAGAATCTAATACACAACTAAATATTGTGTAATTAATACTTCTACTTAATATAAGTAACAAATACTTAGTCAGACCAGCTGCTGTTGTACAAAGGACAACTTGAAAGCTCCACAGAATATCTTCCAAATGGCAATATCACATTTAGTGCACTGTGATTACATCCATGAACTAATCTGGTTATCTTGAACGTGTATACTCAGATAAGAGTTTCTAAAAAAAGGGTGGCAGTGACCAGTGGAAAGCGACCTTGAGAGTTTTGAAATGTGCCTATATAAATAAAACGTATTATTAAATAAATCAAATTATTTCCACAGCTGAGTGGCAGGTTGCGTATCAGAAAAAAGAAACGATACTCTTAGAAATCTTAACTAGAATCAGCCCCTCAAGTCAGAAACAATACATTCTCATGATATATTGCAATTACATAAAATTAAATTAAAAGGTAGTTTGTAAATGTATGGAAGTCAGTAAAGGATACCCGACCACCTGCATGTTTACAAGTTCTACAGCACCCCAATGACAGCTGTTGTCTGTTGATGTAAACATAGAAAACCATTCAGCATATTGGTATTTTTATTTCAAAAAAATATTTGAGCCACACTCTGTACAAAGTGTTAACTCTGCACAAAATGCTTAAAAATCCTGTTAAACTGCAAACAGACCTACAACTCCCAAATGTTCTTTCTATAACTGCTTTCCTCACCCGCAACACAAAATACAGCCCAATGGTAACAGTCAGTTTTCATGTTGTGTACATTATGTTCTGTGTGTATTACAGTACGTCTTGGGACCAGATGTTTACCAAAACCAAAATAATTACAGCAGAAATACCATCTTCATTTGGCTACATATTATTCAATTTGAAATAGGTTTTATTTTTATTTTATTTCCAATATTGTGTGCCAAGGTTTAATTTTTGCTTTACCAATACTAAAGGGTTTCAGTGTTTTGTTCTTTCAAAATCAATTTCTATACGTGTAAGCTCGGAAAGGCCTCATGTGAAAGAAAAAAGTTTCGTGGCATAGAAGGGGAAAAACGTAAATCTCCACACCCAACAACACCAGAGATCAATGCTACAAAAGACCCGTCCTGTGTAGACCAGGAAAGATGCAGGAGAGATCTTGGGGATTATTTTGAAGTCGAGTTGAGATGAGAAAAAGATGTTGCGCTTTACATTATTCATAGCGGCTAGCTGTATACAAGTCAATTTTTGTGCATGCATATGTTTAATTGTCAAAGGCAGAATATTCCGGCCATCAATGCAGTTCAACCAAACAGAGATGGAGATCGCTTGAGGTGCAGTCAGCCCGCAGAGATAAAAAAACGTCTAAGGGGAGAAAGCAGGGTAACTCAACTGTAAACAAGCTCTAAATTACATGCTCACAGCCAACTCAAAAGCTCAGAGAAAGAAAAAAAGAGGGAATTAAAAAGTAATGCATACAGAAAAAAAAGGTCCCATACTCAAAAAAAAAAAAAAAAGTACTGGAATGTTGATAGGAATTCCTCGAATAATATGTGTAGCCATTGCAGAGAGGGTGGCTACAGGCGGATAATTTCGTTGATTAAACATAATGCCAGTCAGCCTGGACCCCAAGGTAAAGTTGAAAAAGCGTCTCCAGTCCAGTCTCCAGATTTGAGTTGCCCATCCGGAGGACTAGTTGCGATATGGAGACACGGCCAGTAGCTTTGGTGAGGCTTCAAAAATCACACTGGAGATGAGGGGTGCGAGGTCTCCAGCAGTGCCCAGGACGCTTTAATTATTAACCTTAGTGGCAACTACTTGTTCTTCACCACAAGCCTTCAGCACAGTGACCTGAAAAGGGAGGAGACACAAATGAGATCAGGAAACTTCAAAATGCAGCCAAAAAAAATACAAAACACTATAATACACATTAGCAGTCAATTAGCTATGGATACAAGTATAGTGTTGAAGCGTTCTGTATCAATATGAAAACAAAGAAATCATATTTTTGTACTTTATCCTGGATGACTAACGGGAGGGCTACCTCTGTAGAAGCTATGCTGTCTGCTCTCCCGCTTCTACTCATTGTTTGTTTTTTGGATGTATAAACTGTCTAATTGTTGAAATAGTACAAAAATAATAATAATTTTTTTTAAAAAGTATTTTGCTGCTTCAGTGCTAAGAACTTAAAAAAAAAAGAAGAGAAATCTGATGCAGCAATAGGGTGAACTGTCAGAGCGTTGTATCTTTTAGTTTAACCTCAAAATAAAAACAATATAAAGTTGTCAACTCTGTTCACAAAAATAACAAAACCATGAATGAAGTCATTAACTTGTGTAACGGTGCGTTAAGAAAACAAAAACATGGTACTACAGGGACAGCTCTGAGACACTGCTTACGGTTCATTTAGTATCAGTGAATATAGCACATTTGTAAAGATATGATTAATTTGAAAGCAACAAATGAAAACATATCATAATTGGTATAGTTGTTCAGACAGTAAAAACCAACAATCCACATTAACTCACCACAAAAGACTCTCCGTTTTCGAACTTCGTTTTGATTTCTTTGCCAATTTCATTTTCTAGTAGTTTGAGGTCCTCTCTGGTTGTTCCATTGTCTTCCAAAAGGCTCAGGTAACCAGAATCCAGATCCAAAAACTAAACATGCCATCAGAGAAAGAACAGAAAAAGTAAACCGTTAAATCTTTAAGATGTTGAAACGTTTTTTTCTGATAAATAATTCATAAACAGTGCCAGTCAACAAAGTCCTAGAAGAACAGGCCAATAGGAGAGTGGCAAAGGCAACAAACAAACAAACCGCTTACATGTCGGGGACTGGGCCATGTTAGTGGTCCCAACAGAGCGCGTTCTAAATCAGTGGTGCCGCCACAAAAAGTCACCAATGCTCATTAAGCATTTTTGAAAATAATGGATTTAAAAGTATACTAGCTATTAAAATCTGAAATACTTAATTGAGTCCCAGGGGGAACATAGGATTGGTAAACGTTATTCTCCAAAGGATTGATTTATGAGACTCCTTGGCATGCTGCAAAGATTCTTGGGGTTGTAAAGAGTTTATTTTGGTACACTGGAGATAAAAGTAAAGCATACGGTTTCACAAGTTTGAATGACTTATGAAAAGTCCTATTTTGTCCTTTATCACAACGCAATTCCTGAAATTAGTATTGTTGGACATAATTATGAATTGTGGTGATTCGCTTTTTCCCCCTCATTCTTAAATGTGTAAATATGATACATCATACACATACCTACTGTGTATTATTGCCAAGTGTCCCTATTCTAAATATAACAATATTTTTGCCACATACGATAATAAAGCAAGATTCAGGTAAACAAATCTGCTCTCCCTATGTTCCCACTAATAATTTAACTATTCTTTTCTTGCGTTTTAGAGAAACACTATCACAGCCATCAAACTAGGATGGATAAGCACACATGTTGAAACGCTGTTAAACCAGTTTGAAACCTGTAAATGCTTCAACAACAACTGAAGAGACAGCTCAGCTCTGAAGCATGTGACACACCTGCTTAACAATCACAAAAAGGCGTTTTCTAGCACCACACTGTCGTTTGGATTACGTCATTTAAATGACAAACATCAAGGGAAATGGATCCACTTGTTTTCTTAATAATAATTTTTTTTAAAAAGCCACAACACCAAATGACTGGCTATGACAACAGTTATTGGCTTCCAGTTGTAATGTGTTTCAAAAGGACAGAATATCCAGCACACATCATGAATGCTTGATACACTTTGGGGCCACCAGGTTATATCAAGATGGGTTACCTTACCTGGTAATCTTTCCTCGTGACATTTGGGACCTCCATGTTGTGGGTAGATGGGCACAGATCTTCATACTTCTTCTGATTGAAGATGTCAAGTCCAACTAAATGAACCTGGGAAAACACAACTGATTAGATCCGGCTTCAGGCCAAGTAAAAAACGGAGAAATGTAGGCTAAATCACAAAATTGCTTAAGTGTTGCATTCCAGAGGATGCACGAGGAGGCTTTACCTTGGCATGTCCATGCTTGCCAGTCTTGGAGGTAGTCATGTCAACGATCTTACAGGGATGACCCTTCAGCATGACAAAGCCATTCTTCCTCAATGCAGAGCACTGCTGTGGGTATGTTTCAGAGGCCCCAGAACTCACAGTAGCGAAATCTTCATCTGCCATGTTGAAATCTATGCCATCCAACAAAAGAACAAACATATAATATTAGAGATTGCAGCATTATTAATAAAGATGTGTGTAGTATTAAAAAACTGCTAGTACACATACAAGACGAGCAATACACGTGTCCTTATGTGGTGCCCGGTGAGCACAGATTTGTACGTGTAAACATTAAACTAAGACTACAACCAAGACCATGTTAGGGAACCCGACAGCTGTTAGAAGGGAAGGTGGTAGCGCCATAAGTGCTTTATAAATCAATAACCGAAAGACCAGGGAGGAGGATTGCAACGAGAAATGCTTTTGCTCGACGCTAAATGTGTCTTTTCAAGCTAACTCCGATACCCCCTCCGCTTTTGCTCAACCATTCATGTCCCACACTTACACAAAAAAATAAGTATGCAGTGTATAGTTACTATTTCGCTGGCCAACTACCGTTATCCGAACAGCTAAAAGCTAATTGCTAATGTGTCTAGATGCACGCCATGTTACTAGCATGTCATATTTTCTTTAACACTGTGAGTCACAGCCAAATAACTACTCCAACATATTAGCCGCCCTGTTTGTTCATTGTTGTGTGAAGTACCGATAAAATGGTTTGGTAGCTTATCTTATAAAGCTAGTAAACATCTAGTTTGCTATGGTACGTGGCAGCTGGACACTGTAGCTTGATGCTAGCTTTGGGTTCCCACCTCGTGTTTTTTCTGTCATCCCTTAGCCATATTAGCTTGCTAACACGATCCACACCCGGGCTAGCTGTGGCGTTGCTAACGTTAGCTTAGGTATGTTGCAAACTTCTTTCAAACATCGTCTCGCTTTCCTGACTCACTTTCAATGCTTCCCAGTATTATACATTAGTTGATGAATGACTGCAATGCAAAAACGATAGGTTACTTTACGTTAAAGTGTTACTTATAAGCCCTAGCGGTTTTACTTACCCCGTGCCTTGCTTATACCAAAGAGGAAAAAAAGTCACTTCGCATGCGTAGAGCTTTTGTATGGCAGGAGGAGCACAGAGGGCAGGTACCGCGCTTCCGACGTATCGTGGCTGGGGGATGGGCAAAAGCCTCATGGACAGTTGCTGACTGCACAGAACCAAACATACCGCAATGGACTATTCTGTATAACGTTACATGCTTATAATAGAACAGCTATAGTTATTTCAAGCATATAATCAGTGGTGGAAAATAACTAAGTGCGTCATTTACTCGCTTTATGCACAACATCTGAAATAATTCTGTAAATAACTGAGCATACTTCCAACGTTATTATAACTTTTTTAATGTTTTTTATTTGATTAGATTTATTTCGAATGTGTGAAACAATAATACAACAATTTAACATGATAATTATTATATAATACAAAAATAAGCAGTGTCAAATTGATATACAAAAAAATATTATTCTACTTAATTACACATTTGCACTTATTTAATCCCACCCCTTCTCTGAAAAACTAAATTATTAACATATATATATTTCTTTTTTTTTTCTTAAATAAATACATTTTACATGGCTGCTACCTCACAACTGTTATTGGTGCTGGATGTGTATTTTATCATTTTTAATTGTGTAATTTCGACTCTTAACTTTAATATTTTAACCACCACAAAACGCAGACTATTGAAATCGTGTGCAATAACCCTGCAATGTGCAATATAAACACTTGTTTGCAATTGTAAGCTGATATAATAACTTTGTTTACAAAAATATATTTTCTTAAATGTCCCAAATCTAATTTTTTAGGTCGTAATACTTTACTATGCTAATTCATGTCTCTTAGTTTTAATTGCTGCTACAATTTATTTTAAGCTATGATTCTGTTCTTATACTTTTTTATTTTTTATTATTGAATGCCTTTTTGACCTGCTATGCCACTTTTGCTGTAACACTGTACATTCCCCCTACTGTAGGACTAATAAAGGATTTCTGATTCAAGTAATTTAATTCAGTTACAGGGTGTGTATTTTTGTAAAATGTGTAACTTTTTATTATAATTTCTTTTTTTTATCTTTAGTACTTTTTTATGCATGCTTAGGTAACATTAAGCTCTCTTTGGCTCTTTTCTGTTGTAACAATGTAAATGTCCCCTCTGTGGGACTAATAAAGGGATTCTGATTCTGATAAGTACAATTTTGAGAGACTTGCACTTTACTTGAGTATTTCAATGTTTACTATAATTCATAGGAGAAAAATGTACTTTTACATGACTACATTTATTTAATATCTTAAGTTACTTTGCACATTTGGATTAATAATGTGAAATATAAACAGCAGTTAAATAACACTTTAGTTACACTTGGAGTAACATTCACAAGCTATCCTGTAGCATAAATGTAAAAAAAAAGAAATGCGGCTAATAAAATGAACTGCACCTTTAACAGCTTTGATAAATTAGAGCATCAATAATTGAAATTAAAACATATTATATATTATTCTGAAATGGGCACATTTGCACATTGACTACTTTTACTTTGAGTACTTTAAGAATATTTAGATGCTAATACTTTTGTACTTTTAGTTGAGTAACATTTTGAATGCAGGACTTTTACTTCCTGCATTCCAGAGTATTTCTACACTCTGGTACTTCTACTTAACTTAAGTACAAGATCTGAGTATCCTAACCCATCACAGTCCCCCTGCTTTACTCCCACTACTATTTTATTACATTTTTAATTTATTAAATGCCCCTCTTGTTTGTTTGTTTGTTTGTTCACCAAGTAAAGCGGCCTTGGGTCCCTTGAGGCAGGTACGATACGATATTAACTTTATTGTCAGATCAAGTCTGAAATTTGACTTGCGGTCACAGCGCTCCATGTACCAACATCCAAACAGACAAGTATCCAGACACAATACATGAAACACAAACAACAAACATTAACAGCACAATCCAGTGAGAGAAAAAGACTGCTCAAAGAGCCTCAGCGTGCATTTGATCGGGGATTAGCTCTGTATTTTCTCTAGAGGATGACTGATGCAGCAAAGGCGAGGCTTCAGTCTGCTTTATGAACGTGGGACCCTGTATTTCCGATTAGATGGTTAGCGTAGTTCATCTCACTGTTGCAGAACATGGTTTGGGTCAGAAGATATGTTGTTTGTGACAGCCTCACTAGGTGGTTATGATAGGCTGAGTCATAGAGTCTCTGACAGGGTGACCACAGTCTTTGAAGCAGATTTTAACAGGTGAGCTGTTTTGATTTTTAAACGCTGCTGACAAACATTTGTACAAGGGTATATTGCATACGGCAGAATAGACAAGTTCACAGAGTGTAAAGAACAACAGAAGAGGAATTTCTCCTGCTCGCCCCAAAAGACCTAAGACGGCCGGATAAAATAAATTTGTTTTTCCTTTTGCTCAGATATTCAATGTGATCCTTCCATGACAGCAGATGGTCAATCATTACACCCAAGTATTTTATGAAACTCCCTGCTTGATTCCTCTGTAGGATGACAATGAGGACTTTATGGGAGTCAAGACTGGTGAGCCAAAAATGATTTCCTCAGTCTTCTGCGTTGATGTCAAGGGCATGTTATCAGTCCACTCAACCACCGATTTTCAGCCGTTGGTGCAGCTCAGTTGACGTCTTGTTACTGAGCAGAGATATCATTGCAGTATCATCAGAAGTTACTTAATGATGACTTGATTTTGTGTGTTGGTACGACAATCATCATCATCAATGTAATCTATTATTATTATTATTGATTACTTCTCCCACCATTTAATGGTAGTGGCAGCAACATGTTTGCCAAATGCTCTACCTGATTGGTCCTTCCTCCATTTATTATGGTGATCTTTATAAAACCATGCTAAAAAAGAATGAGGCTCCCTACAACAGCCCACTATAACATTTTCTAGAGGTCCCTCTATATCTCTCTTAAACCACTCTTGCCTGTGCTGCTACACTATGCCCAGCCCAAACATGTAATAATCCTCTTTAATATATAAGATCTTCTCTATTCTTGAGCAACGTAGGTTTAATGTGGGTTTTTTATGATTTCATATCTATATTGTGAAGTAGGTATCTCAGATATTTAGTAATATCCTTTTTGTATCGATAGACCATTAATTACCTTTAGCGTAACGCCAAAAATAAAATACTGTTATTTCTATTATTAAATACATCTGAATGAATAAACCATAGCAGAAGGAGCAGCAATCCACTGCGGTAATGAAAAACAGCTTTTTCTTCCAACAGGTTGCGCTTATCTATATATATATATCAGGAGACAGGAATTAGTTATCTGAGTTTCTGATGTTTTTAGCCATGTGCGAGAGGGGATGTTAGCCTTATAATATTATTGGGGTGCCGTGCAGCTCCTTTGTTTTCCTTCGTCTAATGATAATATCGGGTCTCTTTGCTGTTAAGTAATACGCGCTCGCGATGGTCAGCTCAGCTGTTCCTGATCTTGCTACTTTGTTTCATCTATTTATATTTGTTATTCTGGGTTGGATATGGAGCACAGCACAGTGGACCACAGAGTCAGTCTATATCACTGTTTCAACAATACAAGTTGGTCCCTTTGTCACTTTCACTATATTATCTCTCTCAGATCTATACTATGTATATCATGTAAACACCACTTCATATGCTTCTATACATGTTGATAGTAAGTCCTCTGGATGGTTTTTATCTTCTATATTTATATTAGAAGAAGTGTATTCTTGATGTAACTCCTTAATAACCCAACTATCTTAATGCATAAAACACTGGGAGCATGTTGAAAGTACTGACAGATAGGACCACACTTTTGCACCGGCGACACGAGTAAATACCTTACAATGGGGAATACACAGCTGGTGTGGTCTCGAAGCATCTGTGTTTTGATGCTCCTGCTGTCAGTAGCGTCTTGGTGCCCTGCCCAACTTTTGTATCAGCCTTCGTTATAGTACAGCAGCAATCTTTTCATAACTGTTTTGCCTTGGATGGTCTTCGGACCCGGATTGTAAATTAATACACTGTTAGTAGTCCTGTTAAAAGGCAGGCGCAGAACAGGGGATGAAACAGTGCATGACGAATCCAAGCCAAGTCTGAAATTGGTGAAATTCGAATAAGGTTACAGTAAGACGTATGGTCGATTATGTTTGTACATAATGTGTTTTCCTTTCTTGCCAACCTGTATATATGAAAGGTCATCCTATGATGAAGTTGCTGGTCCGAGTGCAGCAGCAGCCAGAAGCGATGGCTGCAGGTCGGGTCCCTGCTGAACAGTTCAGCAACTATGAACCATGAACGGACCAGACCAAGTTCAAAAGAAACTCACGAAGAGGAAATAGGCCGAACAGTCTTATATCTCTATCTCCGGAGGAAAAAGGGGTACATCAATATTTATTCACATGTAGTCGTCTATGTGAGAATTTTCTATATCTATGCTATCTGGAGTCCATTTTGTGCTCTGGCTTCACTTGTGTGTGCCTGAGCTTTATAGAACTCTTGCTATCTACAGTTTTGTCCTTATTCTCTGG